AAGATGGTAGTTTTCTACAGATGATATCATGCCCCTGTCAGAATCTGATTCAGAGGGGAAGTCTGAGCAGCCGACAGGGAGTGGGAGTGTGGAAGAAACTAGGGAAGGGCACAGTCCAGCTGGGCAGAGCAGGGTACAGGTAGAGCAAGGGAGAGGGAATTCGGAGAAAGACCCAGGCCCACCCCCTCTTCATCCTAGGGCAGGCAGGATGGAACAGGGAAGGGAGCAACATGAGTTGCCTGGCTTACAGGGGAGGAAAGGGTCCTGATTGCCTTCATTAGCTGCAGCTGGGAACTTAGTGTTTAAAAAGGAAAGCTGCGCACAGTAACTTGTTGGAAGCAAATCATGAATTATCTGGTATTGTAGAGACTTATCTGGGTTCCTGCCATCTTCCCAACCGTGTGTGTTTTGCTGACCTTTCAAGTCTGCAATTCCTTCTTCAAGTTAATTACTGCAGCGTGGTTTGTGTAGATTTTTATTTACAGTTTGTACTTTGTTTTCAGACTGAATTTCCTCCACTTAAAGACTGTTCTTGGGAGTTTTTTCTCCAGCCAAAGGTAACCTGGACATTGGGGCAAAGTTGGAGGTATTAAAGGAACTCTTCTTTACTTATGTGACTGTGTTGCCTTTGTGCCACACTCCAAGACATCACAGATGAATTGCAAATTAATATACACAAGACCAGAGGATTATAATTAAACTTAAGGTCAGCCTGAAGGATAGAAGGCAAGGCTGGGATACACTCAGTGAACAGCATGGTTCCAGGTTTGCACATTTTCACACAAACATGACTTTGGTTACATATTCATCTTTCACATTTACTTTCATATCATATCATTACATTTCATATTTTATAAACTTTCTCAGATATTCTTATATTCTTCAAATTTATTTTATATATTTTCTATTCCTTTCTTAACTTATTTCTTTTTATTTTAAATAGTTCTCATATCTTCATATTCATTATACTTTATATTTTAATCTGTCACATTTGCAATTTCATCACATATTCATATTTCATTATTCCAAAAGTTCCATCTTAATTCTAATAATTCAAAGTTTCCCCTTTAATTACTAAGTTGAGTATATCACCCCTTTATCTTATACATCATTTAGTTAACTCCTCTTTAATTCATAATAATAATTTATCACAATAAAATCACTTTTTAATTATCACCTTAACAGTTCATAACAATAATCTCCTAATAACTATTTAACACATATACATTTTAGGCCAGATTCCGCACGGTATTTTCCCCTTCATTTGCATTAAATCATATATAATTTCAAATAAATTAATCTATTCAATTAATCATAAAAAACCGATGTTAGTCTTTTTATAAGTCCTCATAATTTATTTTAATTATATTCTTAAATTTATTAAACATATTTAGCATACTTATCATAGTTTCTCTTTTTCACATTTATTCCATCTATCTCTATATGTAATTTAAGAGAAACAAGTAGTCTAGTAATAAAAAAACATCAGTTCCAATATTTTCATTTTGAAAATCTATTTTTCTATCCCCTAAATAATTTATTACTTCAAATGCCATTATATTACACATTACCTTGCAGAATCCTTTCTTAATCCTTACCTACCCATTATCTCTATGTCTCTTGACTAAACAATTTCTTTTCATTGTTAAACAATTTCCATGTCTCCTTATTTCCTGATCCTTTCTCTTATTGCTTTTTTCGTCCATTTTTCCCTCCCTTTCTTACTCGTTTTTATTCCCCTCCCTTTTTAAAAATTTCCCTCTGTAATCCCCCTTTCTGCTGTTTCCATTTTCTTTGTTTGGCTTTCAAAGCATTTCCCTTTTTAATTGCCTCCTCAAATCTCCAAGTTTTAATTCCCATTCTTTTTCTACTTTGCTTTAATGTTCATTGTTCCATTTGTTCATTGAAGCTGGCTTCTTAATTAGCTCCTCCCCTCCTGGCACTCCTGGTTGTTCTTCATACTCCAAAATCGCCATTTCTAATGATTGCAAAGCTAGGCAGCACAATTTACCTCTTTCATGTAACGTTTCTTTTATGTTTCTTAGTCCCATTTTTAGTTCCATAAAAAGTTCTGCCATTTTTAAACACTTTTTTTTCTTTATTCCTTTCTTTAGTCTTTAAATCTAAACCAATTGTCCTGTGTAATTTAATTCAACCAGCGTCTTTGAATGTTTATTTCCAACAATTAACTTCTGTTAATTCCTCTTTAAGTTTTTTCCAAGTTCATCAGTCTAATATCCATAGATTTAAATTTATGCCAAAATCACTAAACAGTCCCAGAGTAATTTCTCCACACTTCTTTTATTTTGGTATTTTATATTTTCACTTTTCACTTTCCAGGGTTTCTATTTTGTTGTAACAAAGTTTCTCTTATTTTGTATCAAAATCCACTTTTGGAAGAACCAGGCATTTTTTAAAGTCACTAAAAAATTTCCTTTACCATTAGGTGGCACTCTCTGTTATATCCAAATTCCCCCCTTCCCACCTTTCTTTTCTGTTTAAGGCTTTTAAATTCCAAAAATCCAATAAATCCAATTATCAATGTTCTTTTTTTTTTGACACATTCAAGTCCAGCTTTTAATTATGCCTATTTAGTGCCAAAATCATATATTGTCCAATTTAAACAAGTATTTTCTTCTGGCTTCCTCCTTGAATTTAGCTCCTTTCAAAGTTCAAAGCCATTTTCAGTTGTCAATTCCCCCCCAACACTTTCTCTGGTCACCGCTTTTACTGTCTTTCTTTCTTAAAATTTCTTTTTAGCTTAATTCCAGGTTACCTTAGTGTCCATATGTCAGCTAGTTTGCCTGGTCTCCCTGCTGTCTGCATCTTCTCCGCTCCAGCACAATCTTATTTCCCGAATAGCTTCCCGTCTTCAGGGCAGCCATTAAAGACAGCCACTTACTCCTATCTTCAAGGGGAGTATACCTAGCCAGGGAGGGGAGATGCGGCTCCCCGCAACGTAGCTGGCAATCTCCCCCTCTTTCTCCAACCCTCTGAGGTGCATCCAGTCCCATTTGGGACCCTCCACCAAGGTAAACACGGATTGAAACCGCGCACGATCACGGTCTCCAATCCGTCACTGATGGAAACGCCACCAGAAGCCGAACCAGAAGACAATCTTGTTCTAATACTCCTTAAAATGCTACACATAGCGATGGTGGTTATGGGATGGGGAAAGCCATTTGTTTCCTCATAGGAACAAATGATGATCATGAAGTTATCCGTTCAGTTGTGTCCGACTCTTGGCGATTCTATGGGCCAGGTCTCTCCACATCTTCCGATCTTGAATTCTTTCAATTTTCTATGCTCTGGCTGGTGTCAGCTTTGATAGAGTCGAGCCACCATGTTCTTTGACAGTCTAGTTTCCTTTTACAGCTAACTCTTCCAAGCAAAATTGCTTTCTCCAGTGATATAGAAACAAAATGTAAAAGTAAATGTAAAAGTATGAAGCACTGTGAGCTAGAAGGAAAAGATTACCCACTCATTGTATTCTTTTAGACAACAGTGAGTCTAAACCTGACTTTTTGAAAAAACAAAATCATGAACTGTTTAATATATAGTTGCATAAAAGAAGATGCTGCAATAAAAGTACTTAACAATAACGAGCTTTAAGGCTTAAATATTATTTAGATGGTTCATTAAAAAAACTTTCACGAATCAGGTGATTAAGTACCAAACTAATGTTAATATTGAGCAAATACAAAATTAAATAGGCCTATAATACTACATATTTCTGAGAAGTGAACTGTTTGAATTGTGTTGGTTTCACAAATTTAATGCAGTTTTCCAAACAAGTCTTACATGAAAACAAATATAAACCAATTTTATATTTCCAAACTAATAAAAAAACATAATTATAATCTCTATGAAACCATTCCAATCACATTTGCCTATGTGATTCCTTCCGTTGTTCACAAGGACTCGCTGAAATATCCCAGTTAGAGGTTTTTGCTTTTTAAGCTGCAAATGTTGAAACCAACATTGCCTAACTAGAGTCCATAAATGTGGCTTCTAAATAACCCTGATGTGTTTGGCTCCCTGATCATTTCTGGAAACTAAAGGCAGGATTTGCTGAAACACCAGAGGGCCAATTCCTATTCATTCCTCCCTTAGATTTCTCCCTGTCAGCTGCCCTACACACTCTAGGAAATAAAGCTATTCCCTTTTTTCCGACCCATCTTTGTCTCTTTATTCTAGTATGATGTTTACCTGATTCCATTATCTTCATTTTTTTCCCCTTGTAAGAAAATAACCATGCTTAAGAAGGTGGGAGAATACAGGGTAATATAAAACGAGTGCTTCCTGACCAGTCTGTCTTTATTCCTTCTCTGTTTTGCAGTATCATAGAGCAAGTAACCACACTGAGTTCAGTATACTTCCCCTTTTGGCATGTGCTGCCTTGCTCCAATTTGGATTCCTCACTAGACCCAAAAAAATTTATTGAAAAAAAGGTCCTGAATTTACACTTAATAAGTCAATTTATTGTCAGTCATTTGTACATGTTGATTTTCCACCTGTGTTTTCAAATTGGTGTGCTATGTGCCCCGAACAAAGAACTACAAAGCATTTTGCAGGTTCAAGCAAAAGTACTTTTCTTTTAACATTTCACATCTGCATTACTCTTCTCTATAGTTCACAATAGCCAAATATTTAAGAAACACAATTCCCTCTAAACTAAGTGAAAATGTAATTTCGCTTTGCCAAAGAGAAGTTTTAAAACATTACTGATAACAAACAGAAAAGAACCTTACAGGTTAAGAAATTAAGTACTTCTGTACCACTTGTTCTAACAGTCAGGTGCCTCCATAGCATCCTTTGAGTTTTACATTTTATTTTCATCATATTGATTATGCAATCTAAGCCACGCTCAAATATTTATATTTAACTATCAATTTACATTCTGCAATTTACATACTTATCTACTCTTAGCCACCAAAAGTTGCTTTATAGGGTTATGACAGCAATTGGGACTGGTATTGCCATCACTAAAGGATGACAATCCCAGTAATCCCAGTTGCCTTTGTAACCCTATGTAACCTTTAATGACTATGCAGATAAGGAGCATGGAGGGTACTGCAGGTGGCCAATGGGGAGTGGTGAGCCGCCTGGCAAGAACCAGGAGTAGGCACTGGAAAGGGTGGTTGGGAAACGCTATGGAGTACAAAATCCCTGGTATCTCATACTCCCTAATGGGGTTCCTCAGGAGAAAAAGCAGCAAGAGCAACTTGCAAAATTGTTTGTGACTTTCCCTGCCAGCTTCTCCATTGACTTTGCTTGTGGCAAGCTAGCAGGAAAGGTTGCAAATGGCGACCATGTGACTGCAGCTCGCCCAGGTGCTTGAGCACCCGCATCGTGATCACATAACCACGGGGATGCTGCAATGACTGCAACTTCAAGGACTGGTCATAGGTCCCCTCATTCAGTTCCACTGTAATTTTGAACAGTCATTGAACAAGTATAACCTGTATAGAATATAAGATAACACAGAGATGTCCAAGGTCACCATTAAGAGGGACATGGATTAAATTTAATTTCAAACCATATAGAGTTATAAACATTTGTTGCTGGCACCAAAGCAATCACAAAGCATCATAAATGATTATGATGACGCAAGATATTCTTCTTGTCTATACTCTCTTAAATGTGTGGTGCTTCTACATTTTACTTCCCTTCAGTTATAGCTGCTACCTAAAAACAACCAAAGGTTCAACTCCTCAAAAGCTAGAGCCAATCCTGGGATTATTCTGGTCTGTAGAGCAACAGGGCTTAGCTGAATCCATACTGCCAATGACTGTTTCCAATTCACGTTGGGAAATAATCTAATCCAAACTGGGGGGAAAAGAACAGCTGGGGAAAAAAAACACAGCATCAAACCAATCCATTTATATAAGTCACAGAAGCAGACTGACGGCCCTGATAAACTGCTGCCAACTATTTCAGCTATGAGCTAGAATACCCCCAAAGGGCTTGAATGAGGAATATCAAAACTAGTCCAAATAGACTGTAGAGTGGAAAGAAGCTGACCCTACACTCATCAGAGCAAATCCAACTATCTAACAAATGAAACAGCCCTGCGGCTATTTTTTTACATCTCCAGCTTTCATAAGGGCCTTAATAGCCCTTGCTCGCATCTCAAGCTCCAGGAGTTCCAGCTGCTGTGCTGATGGCTGAACATCATCTGTTGGAGGAACTGCTAAAGCTGCCGCCTTGGAATCCTTTGGGGAGGATTCAGCAAGCCCCAGGATTTCATTGACGCTTTTCTCAATGTCTTTCTGAAGGTCATCTATCTGACTGTCTCCACTTCCAACCGTCCGTTCTGGCACATCTGGATTATCTTCTTCGTTGCATGGTCCTTCGATGTCGCTGTCGTATGCATCTGCATTGATGCTGAGAATATCGCTATCTTCTCCTTTGCCTGTGGCAGAAAATGAACAAATTTAGAAGACTCACCCAAAAAGGAAGAGCTGCTTGCAGTTGCTTTTGCACACAAATATTCCCTTGCCCAGATTTAAAGTATAAGAAAGGTCATCTATAAATTAAAAACAAGTTTCTCTCTTTCCAGCCTTCTCCCTACCTTAAGACTGATTTAATTTAGACCAGTTTTAATGCATTTTTATTCCAATTTACAAGAACATGCAGTAGTCCAAAGCAGCAGTGCTTGGAAAATTTATTCCATCGTATGGAATTGCATGATCTATTTTCCTAATTAAAATGTCATAAGGTTTTATATCATAAGGACGCGTCTGCATTTCAAAATGAAAGTTGATGTGGGAAGCCTCTGGGACTGACTACTGTTTATTATTTTAGAAGTAAATTTAATTCCTAAAGTGCAGTTTAAAAGTACTTTTAAAATTACTTTATGTACTGTAACAAAAATACAAAAATAGTTATCAGTACAGTAGTATACGTATTAGATATATCTGTGTACAGACATTCAGTGAGGTTTAGGTTTCAGTTTAGGTTTCCTTCGTAACAATTACAGCATTCTTATTTGCTTCGTTATGTTTGATGGTAGCAATAGACTTGATGAGGGCCAATAAATTAAATTTGAATCCTTAGAAGACAACGGTGTTGTTGATGGCCAAATCTCTCATTTTAAAAGACTTGGTGCGTAATCTGGAGGTTCTCCTGGACACATCAAATCCTGCTCAAGGAGCAGTGGCAGTCGTGGTCAGGAGGGCTTGTGCAATGGCAAGTTGTACACCAGTTACATCCTTTCTTGGACCAACAATCTCTGCTTATAGTCACCCATTGCCTAGTCACCTCCCATCTGGACTATTGCAACTCACTGAAAATGGGATTGCCCCTTGAAAAGAATCCAGAAGCTTCAACGGATTCAAAATGCGGCAGCCCAAATGGTTTTGTGCAGACCTAGTTGTGCACAGATGTCATCTCTTCTGAGGGAGCTGCATTGGCTACTGATTTGTTTCTGGGTCCAATTCAAGGTGCTGCTTGTCACATTCAAAGCCCCACATGGCTTGGGTCCAGGTTATCTGAAGGACCATCTTTTCCCAGCCACATCTACCCAACCCATCACAGCAGGGAGGGAATGTTGCAGGTCCGATTTAATAAGAAGGTCCATCTAGCAGAACCAAAAAGAAGGGCCTTCTCCATAGTCGCTTCCTCCCTGTGGAACATCACTCCTAAGGAGATAAGATCAGCCACCACTTTGACATTCTTTTGCAAGGTCCTGAAGATCTGGTTTTGCCAATGGGCCTGAGGATTCCAGAGTGAGATGGAGCCATCAAACAGTTTATTTGATTGTTGTCACTGGGAGGGGGCTTATTGCTTTTTTAAAAATTGGTTTTGTATTGGTCTTTTATCTTTGTAAGCCACCTGGAGTCATTGAAAGTGAGTTGGGAGGCCATATACATTTTCTCAAATAAACAAATGAAATACACTAAAGTTTTGCCCTGGAAATTCATAAGGCCTTTCTCCTACAAATGTTTATTTTCACTTTCCAATCTTTAGTTAACCTGTATGTAGTATGATCCATGGTGTGATGATGTCTATATTACTGTAAAATGAGATTGTTTTGGATGGTTTAAAAGCATTAGGTAATACATAACTATGTTATATCTATACTGTACTTGATTACTTGTACTAGTCAGTTATTGGTATGGATTTACAAAGCCCTAAACAGCATAGTGCCAAAATAATTTGTTGGAAAGCCTTTCTTCTCTGATATATCATCTTATGAAGATTTACAGTGACAGTTTTCCTGTGGTGCTGACAGTGACTGCATATGTTTGTGATTCTGTTCTATAGTTTTACAGTTCATATTTTAATTGTTGTAAATTGCCTTATGACTGATACACAAATGCACAAATGCAGTGTGGGTTTAGCCCAATCTAAGTATGCACTAAGGCTCAGAAATTTTAGAAGTGATTTCTATAAATATTAGAGTCCCAATTTACAATTCAACTTTCTCCAGTATAGTACTTTCTGCTACATAGGAATTCCGATACTAATTGAGAACACCTGTTTGGGCAAATCTGTTTAAGTTATACCGCCTTTGACATTTCCATTAGGTTTAAGAACAATGCAACAAGATAACCAAGGTACTAAAAATGTAAGTCCCAAATTCTCTTGGATGTTCAAAACCAGCTGTGAGAAACTTTTAATTCAGAGAAACTAACGTTCTTATGGTCGGCAAGGTTAAGATGTTTGGATTTCAATTCCTGGAATTCCCCAGTCAGCAATTGAAATTCACATATCTCAAAAGTTGTCAAGGTTGAAAAATATTGATCTAGAGTGTGGATTTTAAGAAAGTTGAACAGGATATGTATAATACAAGAAGGAAGTATTCTGACATTACTATGCTTTGATACTAAAAGAAAATATAAATATTTATATGATATTCAGTCATCAGGTACTACGAATGGAGAGTCACTTATACTTTGAAGCTATCTGTTAACTATTAACAGCAATTTAATACCACAAAGCAGTACAATGGGAGGTTTTGTAAGCAGTAAAATACAGAGAAAGAGAGATTATGTTTTGCTGGATCAGTTCAGTCCTGATTAGTTCAGCATTAACAGTACCGTCTACAGAAAGCCAAATGTCCTTTTGAAGCTACTAATGAAGATACTTTCAAGGTCTCATGATTCTATTCATAGCTATCATGGTTAAACATCATAGTTTCTGCTGTGAATTTGTTAAAACGGTTATTTAAACACTTTTAGAAGTTAATTTCACCCTTTCTTGACATAATTAGGCATTGTATGTAACTTTTTTTTTACTTGCAATGAACTTTATCAGGTTTAAATAGTTTTATGAAGTATATAAACACTTTTATAACCCTGCTATAAATATAATAAGCTTTCTACCTTTTAGTCTTAATCACTTTTAAATTATTATTTTCTGAAGTTTTTCCAGCACAGAAGTTTCCTGATGACTTTCCACTTAAGATCCAAGCTGGCTTATCTTTTTTTTCAATGCACCCTCTTTGACTGGCTGTGGCTATCTGTTCAACTTGGTCAAAAAACAAATAATGAATTGCAATACTTACTTGATAATACTTAAAAGAACTGGCAAAATAATAATGTCAGGGTCAATGTACCTCCATTGACCTTCTCCCCCAAATTAGAGGCTGCTATTACTCATCAAGGAAGTGGCAGAACTTTTATGTACCTTGGGGAATGTAGATCTTGTACAGGGTACGCCGGGGCACCATGTTGCCAATTCTCTAGAATGATTCCACGAGGTATAAAAACTACTTTTAAAAACCTTTTATTACAGAACCATTTGATAAAGAATTTAGATTTGTAGGTGCAGGGGCAAGCCTCACAGCATACAAATTATATCCTATATCCATTTTGATATAAATTGCAGTTCTCTTGCAACAGAATGAAAATACACACACACACACACACACACACACACTCAAATAAACCCGTCTCTTGAAAAATGGCTGTGACCTGGACTCTGATCTAGAAATCTGAAAATTCATTTTACTCTTCTACAAAGTAAAATAATTGCTGTATTTGCTTTTGTAATTAATGATTGTAAAGTTACTGATAATCATTAAAGCAACGATACCTTAAAATTTAATTCCTTGACCATTATTTAACCAATTTTTTTCTGACCCTATTTGCAGATTAAATTGTAAGAAAATATGGGAAATCCTAACTAAGGTAGTAGTAGAAATGGGCTTTGCTCTGCACCAATCCAGCAAAGCAACTCTTCAAGGCATTTTGAGTGAATGATGCAGGCAACACAGATTTAGCTTTAATACCACATATTGGAGAAATTTCATCTTGGATATCAGCACATATCTAAGAACTTCAAAAACATTCCCATAAGCAGCATACAGACATATTTTGTAAGATGGAGGGAGAAACCTTTAAATAAAAATATAGCAAGATGACACAGAGAGGTGAGGAAAAAGAAAAGAGAGTGCACGTGAATGGATGCACTTGGCCATCTATGGAGATTCTAAGTCATCCAGGTCATGATTGTCCCAAAGGTGCTTTTTCAAAAGGCAACTGGTCTTTTTTTTCTCTTGAACATGTTTTGCTTCTTATATAAGAAGCTTAAGTTCTGATTGAATGGTGGAGAATGGAAGGATTTATATTCCTTGAAGTCATCTGGTCGTTAACCCTCCCTCTGACAGTCGTCAAGGCTAGCCTCAATCCATTGTTGAGGCCACTTGGAGACTTCTAACAACTAGATGACTGCAAAAAATATAAATCCTTCTCTACCAGTCAGAACTGAAGAAACTTCTTAGATGAGCAGCAAAACGTCTTCAAGAAAAAACAAAAAAGTCCAATTGCCTTTCGAAAAAGCACCTTTGGGATGTAATCCCAATCTCAATAATCAGAATGAAAATCCCACATATGTCTATCTAATCAGACTTTATTGGGACAGGTAGATTAATTTTTAGAATTAAATGGTTGGCATTATTGTGTAGTGGCGCAGTGGTTAGAATGTAGTACTGCAGGGCTAACTCACTGCCCACAGCCTGGAATTCAATCCTGACCAGGTCAAGGTTGATTCAGATTTCCATCCTTCTGAGGTAGGTAAAATAATGACCCAGATTTTTTGGGGCATCATGCTGACTCTGTAAACCAGGGGTCCCCAACCACCGGTCCACGGACCGGTACTGGTCCGCGGAACAACTCCTACCGGGCCGCTGGCTTGCTGGGCGCCGCCATCTTTTTTTAATGAAAAAGTGCTTCCGGTGAGCTTTTCCGGGTAGAAAGCTCACCGGAAGCACGTTTTCATCAAAAAAAGATGGCGGCGCCAGCGCTTCCGGTGAGGTCACCGGAAGCA